GATATCAGGCCCTTGTAGAGCAAAATTGAGTATTTTGGTCTAAATAACCCAAAATGTGATGTCCACATATGTGGACGGCAGGTCCTAGGAGGTTAAAGTCCAAGTTTGTGGTGAGAGTAGCCAGCAGTGAAATACTGAAAATATTCTTTGAGACTAGCTTCACACTGGAGTACTGCATTCCAAGTGAAGTATCACAATGACAATTATGTGACAAAGTACCAACATCAGGTCAGAATCAAATCACTGAGCTATGACCCGTCCATATTTGCAAACTTAGCAGAGGAACTTTATAGCATTCTCCTGTTGTATGGTGACACTTTCACATCATATGGTATGTAGCCAGTCTATGATAAGAGCAAGACAATAGCATTTAATGCAGAAGAAGAACTGATTCTATGTGACAGTCTTGTAACTCTTGGAGAAAAAAAAGTTTAAAAATCTCAGAAGTTTCATGTATCTTGGTGTAGTGCAGCAGCAGGGAAGGGGTAGAGCAGAGGGTTCAGGGGCAGTTCTAGGCGCACAGCCACAGTGTGCCAGCCACTATTTTAACTCAGTAAAATGCTGAGACCGGTCATGTTCAGAGAGTAAGGACAGCAGCAGTGGAAGAACGCTGAAGGAAAAGCTGCAAGTGAAGCACACGTGTAAAACAGTAATTGTGAGAATAAACGCGACCTGTTCAGTTGAAACTGAGAGTCTGGAGCTGGATGGTGGGTTTCACATGACCGTGGTGTTACATTGGCACCCAACTTTGCCTATCACACACGATGCAAGGGAGCTGGCCAACATGCACCAAGAGCAAGAGACAGCACCACAGCAGTAACTGGAGACGCTGCAGGCCCAAGCCGAGCAGCACACACAGGTAATAGGAGAAATAAAGTAAAAGTAAAGTTTATTTATTAAGCACTTTTCATAGACAGGCAGTCACAAAGCGCTGTACACAAAGGTTAAAATAAACAGAACATTTGGTAACAAAATCAACAATATAGTCAATACAAAAGATTGCATATAAATAAAAATGTAAAATTGAAAAAGGCGTTGATCAACAGAAGTTCTGTTTAAACAAAAGTTTTAAACTGCTTTTTAAAGAATCCACAGAGTTAACCAAAAGTAGTTGTGGTGGTCGACTGTTCCACAGCCTTAGTGCCACAGACTGAAAGGCTGGAGGATTTGTGGCTCCGTACCTGTTAATCCTGTCTGTTCCTGCTGAAGGGTCCGAGGAACCTCTTCATCCATCTTCTGTTCCTACTCGAGGGTCCGAGGAACCGCTCCAGCCATCTGTCTGGAGGGTCAGAGGAACCATTTCTGTTCCTGCTGAAAGTCCTGAGGGGTCGCTCCAGCCGTCTTCTGTTCCTGCTGGGGCTTCTGGAGAACCACGCCAGCCGTCTGTTCCTGCTGGGGGGTCCAAGGAACTGCTTCAGCCATCTGTCTTAGCTGGAGGGTCAGATAAACCGCTTCAGCCATCTTCTGTTCCTGCTGGAGGGTCCGGGGGGTCGCTCCAGCCGTCTTCTGTTCCTGCTAGAGGGTCCAGGGGGTCGCTCCAGCCGTCTGTTCCTGTGGAGGGGTCCAAGGAACTGCTTCAGCCATCTGTCTTCACTGGAGGTTTAGAGGAACCGCTTCAGCCGTCTTCTGTTCCTGCTGAAGGTCCTGAGGGGTCGCTTCAGCTGTTTCCTCATCCTGCTGGAGGGTCCGGGGGGTTCGCTCCAGCCGTATTCTGTTCCTGTTGGACGGTCTGGGGGTTGCTCCAGCCATCTTCTGTTCTTGCTGGAGGGGCTGGGGGGTTGCTCCAGCCGTCTTCTGTTCCTGCTGGGGAGTCCAAGGAAGCTTCAGCTATCTGTCTTCACTGGAGGGTCAGAGGAACCTCTTCAGCCGTCTTCTGTTCCTGCTGAGGTCCCAAGGGATCACTTCAGCCGTTTTCTGTTCCTGC